GGTCCGTTTGAGTTCCCAGAGACTTTGACTGCTGAAGTTTATTTGGATTTTTTGAAAAATCATGTTTAAAATTTATTGGTGGACATGCCACTGAGTATTTACAGGGACATGTGGTTTCAGCATGATGGCTGCCCAGCGCACTATGCACTCTCAGTGAGAGAGTATCTCGATCAAAACTTTCCAGGCAGATGGATAAGGTGGTCTGGTACAATCACCTGATTTGAATCCTTTAGATTTTTTTACTGGGGAACTGAAAAGAAAAAGTGTATTTCAAGCCGATTCAAAATGTAGCTGAGCTAGGGCAAAGAGTATTGGAAGCAGCTGAGTTTGTTAATGACCGTGGATTCGCTCGTTTAATAACCCGATCTTTTTTAAGATGTCGAGCGTGTATTGCGACTGAAGGAAAACAGTTTGAGCATTTGCTGTAAAGGTAAATCATCATCAGCAGCATTTTTACGCCCACTGTTGTGCAAACAGTTATCCTTAAGGGTCCTTGTGCGTTTTCATAATCGCTGTTTAATTAGGAAATTTAGGAAAATTTTCATCAGTTTTTTTTCAAATAAAAATTGTGCATAAGTTAACGAGTAATCTTCTAAGTGTTATATATAACTTTTAAGGTTACTTGCCAAACTCTCGTAGTACATTTTTTCCAGTACATTCAGTTAAAGTTGAGCAAAGTTTGACTTTGGAATACTTGGTTGGGAAATAAGTGGCAATTTTTCCTGAACGAGAAAAGTTGGCAGTAAGGCTGAGACACCAGTTTGAAGATGCATTATTCGTCATTACATTGTAAAAATAAAATCCAAAAAAAGTTAATATTTGTAGTAACAGGAGTTGACAGACTGCCGTAGGGTGTGAAATTTCTATATCTTTTTCAAAGACCTATAATTTTCAAAACACATACATACGTTTTTTTAAATATTTTTCTGATAGCTGTTACGGCTTTGCCTATCACCCGGTTTTGGCTTGACGTCGACTTCTGGGACACCCTGTATAACAGATGATATGAATCAAAGCATGAAAAGTTTGATGCAATTAGACTTTTGCAGTATAACCTCAAAATAGAGTGCTGACATGGAGGAGTAGAAAACTATGAAAATCAGGGAGGCTATAGAAGCATCCTACAAGAGCCGTATCGTCAGTCGTTCCTACAATTGTAGGGCGCGTTTATGGCCTCCTTGATTGTCATAGTTTTCTGTTTCTCCGTGTCAGAACTCTAGTATGAGGTTATGTCACAAACATCTATTTGCATCAAATTGTACTTGCTTTTGAGTTATATTATGTTTTAACAGCCTGAAATTTCCTACAATTTAAAGAGAAAACATATCTTCACAATAGAAGAGCGCTGATGCTGACGCCGGACATGTGTAGTCTAGAAATTTTTGAAGGAGAGAAAGGAGGATGACAATGAAGGAGGCCATAAACGCGCCCTACAATTGTAGGGACGACTGACGATACGGGCCTTAGATGCATAATGAAGCATCATGACTTCTTGTAGAACAACCTACGCTATGTCACAGAAAAACCTATAAAAACTGACAAAATGTCACTTGTCAAGATACATAATACCCGAGCGGCTTCATATTCTTCTTACCTTCATATTACTTCTTTGGAAAACACTGTCTTGGTAGGTAGTCTCACTACCAGGGCGACTAGGCTATACCGAACTCTTGAACTTTTTTGACGTATACTGTGCGGCCCAAGCGCTTCTAATTAGCTTTACGAAAAGCTTTGACTTTCTTGCGGGAAAGAAAAACTAACTTATAACGAAATAACGTACTTGCTATAGATCGCACTCCGTATTCCCTTATTTTCCACTTAGTTATAACTTGAAATCGCGCCACGGAGATTATTACCATGCAAATGTGTATCTTCAAACACAAAACTTCAGCCAGTTATTTCAAGTTAGGTCGCTCGAAAGTTCAGATCTAAGTTCTGAAACGAAGCTAACTGGAACAAAGGGCGATCCAAACAGACAAATTATGCACCCCTCATTACAGTACCGAGCTGCTCGTTGTTTTTGTATTCTCGGAGTGTTTGCACAGGTTCGTGTATTTAACGAGCGGCAAATAAAATCTTCAGGGAGACCTGATTTGGATTGAGAGATGCTACAGGAACGGTGCAATACGAATCTTGGTCGAAACGGATATCGTATGACATGACTACAGTATATTCAGATAAGAGATAGACCGGACATAAATAAGACCATGTGATCATCGAACGCTGTAACATTCGGCAGGGACGTATTAAGAGTCATGCAGTACATATTTTAGATAGTAGATGCTGCTTTGCGTAACTTTGTAGTAAATTAGCACAATTCGATGTGTATACGATTGGTGATGGATATAGGATCATGTGGGGGTGGGGTAAGAAACATATAATGATGTAAATATACATAAGGGCTTCAAAATTTTCGCTTCGATTTCCAGCTTCGGATGCCGCCTGATGTTTGGTGAAATACAGTCGAATATAATCTCAAAATGGCGTTTAAATTAGCCTAAATTAAAAATAATCGTATATCTCTTAAAATTGCTTTTAGAATATTGATTAGTATATTTTTTGATTTCTAGGTAAATATGTAACCAAATTAAAACGTTCAAAACGTAAAAAAATGTGCATGGTTGAACATTGTCAGAAAGTAGATTCTTGAATAGGTTTTGCCAAAATGGGTTCAAAAATGTCAATAATTAATTAAAAAATACAGTAGCTTTATAATTACTTATAACTTACCGAATTTGATCAACGACATCTTTTATTGAAAAGATGAGCTTGATGAGCTTTCATCATCGCTACTGCCTGAAGCACCAACGTCAATAATGAATGGCTCGACTTGTTCCTCTAAAATATTGTACAGTTCCCACATTCTCTTTTCAACTTTGTCTTTCACGTGCTTAATACAGTTTTCCCATTTTTGCGCTGTTATTAATTCTAGTGCTTCTTTGAAAAGTCCTTTGAGGTCTCAAAATTTAAAAGTTGTATTGTGCTTAGCTATATAATTTTTAACCTCTGCCCATATGAGCTCAATGGGATTGAGCTCGCAATGGTATGGAGGTAAACGGAGCACAGTTTTATTTTGACTTGCTGCCATTTCGTCAATGGCGTATTTTTGATATTCCGCCTTGTGATCCTTGACAATTCTTAATAATTGTACTTTCAGCATTGCTTCTTCAAAGTTGATATTTTTCGAGCGGAGCCAATTTTGAACATCAACTTTCCTTGAAGCCGTTGTTGGGACCTTCTCCATTCTTCGAGAATGATAAGGCGCATTATCCAACACAATTACTGCGTTTTCCTCTAAGTTCGGTAAAATTTTTGAAAACCACTGTTCAAACGATTCGCCATTCATTTCCTCGTGGTAATCTCCAGTTTTCTTAGACTCAAAGCACCACAGACCGTCAACAACAAATCCATCCTCACTGCCAATATGGCAGATAATGAGCCTTTTCCCTTTACCTGGAAATCGAAGTACTAACTGGTGTAGATTTATTTCAATAAGCGAACCTTTTTCAAATGTTTCCATCACATTCAGCGAAAAAACATTGAGACATGAGTATCAGATTGCTATAATTGGGATTATTTAGTCATATTGAAAGAAAGAATATTGAACGTCGTACGATTACTCAGCGCTTCACAATTTAATTTGAAGTTATAAACCTTTAAAAAATGAATGATCAGGAACCTGAAATACGCGCAAATATTAATATTAACAAATTATAACTTTATAAAGCTTAAAGTATGAATTAAAATGATTAGAAATATTAGGAACGGTACACAATATAAAACTTAGTAACCTTTTTTAAGTTTATAATATTCGACATATTTTAAGATTATATTAAAAAATTATTGAAATATCGAAAACACATAAAAAAATGGCTTAAAAAAGTTCTAACAAATGAAAATGACAATAAAACATCCACGCATTTTATCGAAAGTTATAAAAGTTTTGTTACTTGTAATATGTTTTATCTGCCCCCTAGAATTAATGTTTAGAACCTTGTTCCCAAGGTTTGAAAAACATCCGATTGTTGTCTATTACTCGTATTTACCTGCTGGATTTTTTTATCCGGTGGACAGTTCATCTAGAAAGGCCCTCCTGGATGAAGTTACAGAATCATCAACCCATACTTTACTTGTAGTGTGTCCTGCGTTTACCCACGTTTCATCAAGGTAATAAATCTTCCTGTTTTGATTTCTATATTTCCCAATTTTTGTTAAATAATCCCTCCTCCATAGTACAATTTCTTCTCTATCCAGTAGTAAACTATTACGACCCCGTTTTTTCCATTTGAAATTTAAATGCTTCAGTAACCCATGGAAAGTTGATCGTTTGAAATTTGGCAACGTTGTATCTCCATTTACCTCCTGCAGTACTTAATCTATAGTAGGTATTTCATTCCTAAAGAAGAATTCATGCACTTTCCTCCTAATCGCATGCTTATCAGCTTCATCCAATGATTTAACAATACTTTTGCGATGTTTACTGGTCATTGGCTCAGAAAAGGTGTGATTTTTTTTGTATTGTCTTAACACATTAAACACTGATGCGCGACACACCCCAACCTTGTGAGAAACCTTCACAACAATTTCTTTGATGGTTGATGCCTCGTTCTCCTCGCGCTCGATCTTATATACGTATATATTCAAAACGACCTCTTTCATTTCTGCACTCAGGTGTCTTTTTTTAGAGCGTTTCCTAGGTGGACTACAGGAGTTTACAACTTCATCGGCAGTATCTGTACTACTGGGCATTTTGCGCAAGCAGTTGATAACAATAACAATCAATAACAAGGTATAACAATAACTACGACAAACTCAACAACTTAATAAGATCACAAACGAAAACGTCCAAAGAAATACCAAATTGCAATGATGCACACGACATACGTAACACGTCTGAACTTGAATGTGACTCTGCCTTGATACGACTGCTCTGTCGCTCGGCATAGGCATTTAATTGCGAATTGACCAATGAGGGCTCCTGTTTTACGTCGAGATGGCGGCGTTAGCGTGAAAATCACCCGAACCTTTTGTTTACATCCGGTCTATCTCTTATCTGAATATACTGTACAACTGAACCGATGTACGAGGGATGTCTTTTAAGTTTTGCATATGGAAATAAAACAACACGGTAGGTAGTTTTAAATGACTTTATTGTTTTTCGAAGTATTCTCCACGAAGATTAATACACATCTGCATGCAAACGGCATTTTTGAATGCGTCAACTGCTTCTTCTGGTGACTGGAACCTTTGACCACTCAGTCTGTTTTTAATTTTCGGGAAAGTAAAGAAATCGCTAGGTTTTAGATCGGGACTATATGGAGGATGGTCCAATAATTCCACGTTTAAATACTGCCTTGTTTTTTGGGCTGTGTGCGAGCTTGAATTGTTGTGGTGGAGGATGATTCTTCTTTCGGGGTTGATTTTTCGAAGCTCGGTGATACCTTTTGGCAAACAAATGGTGGTATACCAATCCGCAGTAGCGGTTATTTGCTCATTAAGAGGAATTGTTGCAATATGACCCGCTTTTGGCACAAATACCGCGACCATCTTTTTCGAAACACTTCGAGAGCGGATGACTTTTGTTGGCTTTTCTTCGCCTTGGAATACCCAAACAGCCGACTGTCGTTTATTTTCTGGTTCATAACAGTAAATCCACGATTCATCCCCACTAATAATGCTGTACACATTTTTTGAGTTTCCAAAATTGGAACGGTCAAGCGTTTTTTGACACCAATTAACCCTGGCTGCTTTCTGCTCTTCAGTAAACAGGTGGGGTATCTAACGAGAAATTAATTTTCTTACTCCTAATCCTTCATATAAATTTTCTTGAATTGAGTTCTTTGAGATCTTCAAGGACGCCTCAATCTCGCGATTTGTCACATGTCTATCTTCAATGATGAGTTTGCGCACAGCATCGACGTTTTCCTGGATCACTGCCGTTTTTGGTGCACCCACCCTGGGATCGTCGACAAGACTCACCCGTCCACGTTTGAATTCTCCATACCAACAGGAAATTGTCTACTGATGTGGCGCTTCGTTGCGGATAACAGACAGTAACTCAGCAAGGCATTCTTGTTGCGATAATTGTCTCTGAAAGTTGTAATAAATTACGGCGCGAAAATGTTCTCGGTTGAGTTCCATTTTTCTAGTGACACTTAAAAACTCACTGTAGCGAGACCACTGCACGTATTGTTGTGAAACTTTGAATTTAAGTTTACTAAAGAGTGGGGTTAAGATTCAGTACTGACGTTCGATCCGCGCGGCCTACTATGTTTCTATATGCAAAACTTAAAAGTCGTCCCTCGTACTGTAGTCATCAGTGAAACACCAAGAAATATTTAGAACAAATTTCACGGTACAGAAGCATTTTAGTCAACGTACTTCGCTTCCTGTGTCGGAGTCTGTTTGGCGTAGGAAGTACGAGCGTAAAAAGTACGCTCAAAGAGGCCATTTTCCACTCACTACTGATGCCAGACCGAGGAATCGCAAAAGGATTTAAAATAAAGAATTGTAACGCTTTCAAGCTCTCCTTTTTCCGGCTGCTGCTGTACAACTTGTGTAGCATTTCCCGGAGAATATGGAGAAATGCAGAGAACTACTTATTTGAAACCCGCATACTTGTGTATTAGCCTTCTAAACGCATCTGTTGGGAAACTAATGAGAAACAAGCGGAATTCTTGGTAGATGTTTTATTTTAACTATAACTGAGGGAGATATCATGTTTATTACTACAGGGGCTCTCCGAATTTTAGAACCTAACTCAGGATAGCTGGTATAGTCGTAGTTACCGTTCTTCGTCCTCAACGCCATATGAAATGAGTAAACAGATCGAAACTCAGTGCTATGAGCTGATCATAATTTTCCTAACTGAGGGAAACCGATTCAAAATTATTTACTAATCGTTATTCTCAAAAAATCGTCTAATCTAGTACATAAACATGGGTAGAGTATGACACGCCATTTGATGTTCGTTAAAGATGAAAAAAATACATACGGAATTTACAGTATAACACAAAATAACACATCTATTTGCTGACCTGATGGAACATTTAACATTGGATGTGGATATGTGACAAGCTTATGAGAGCTTCAGAAGAACCGTCTTTAATAATAAAAATGCTCAATTCTTCCTGGAGTGAAGTGCTACTAAATAAATTACTGCTACACAAAAAAATACATTTTGATGATGATGCTCTTAAACTCGAGCTTTTAAATCTATGTCGCCTTAATAAACATCAAGCTTGTAACTCCCACACCTATAAAATAGATACGTTTGGCAACAATGTCTGATTTTTCACACAAAAGTCAGCTGTTATCTTCTGTATTGTAGGAAAAACCGCAAGATTTCAATAGACGCCTCAAACTTGAATCCGAGGCCGTTGTACGTGTACCTTCTTTTACGCTCCTGCTTGATCGCAGAGGTCGTGATATGCTGTACTATATCTTACTTCTCATATCGTAGAAAGTATTCTTAATTTCTGTTTTGATGGCACCACTTTCATCATCGGTCTTGGATTTTTTGATTTTGTGAGTTTCCCAAGGTGTTATTATAATAAATTTTCTGAACTATACGCTTATCGCAAATATTTCATTTCTTATTTTAAAATAAAAGATTAGGATGTAACTTGCACGAAAATATCATTTTTTCTTTAAGGAACCCTCTGCTTGTTATTTTATAGAACTTTGCAGTTGTATTTTTGGTGGTAATACTATAGAATAGATTACTGTTTTATATGCTGTCTTTTTTTGCTTTTTGTACAAAAGGATGCTGTAAATTATAAGAATATAACATACACTGTATAGTACTAAGGAAAATAGATATGAAACCGTAAGAAATCGTTGTTTTTTGCAAAAAAAGGTTCAAAACCAGACGTGTCATTACACATTAGCTGATTAGCTCCAATACCAGATCAAAATATACTAAGTAACATATGAATCCGAACACCCAGTTTAAATGGTTTTATTTTAGTAAAACTTGGTGAATGTATTTATCTTACTGTGAATAACAAGTGAAAAAATTTTCAGCCTTATCAGTTGGACATTCCGGTTTTTATACTGCTTTTTTTTTAATTCACTAACGCTCTAAAAATGAATATTTCAGCCGCAGTAAAGAATCAACGTTGGCTGATTTTGGTTCTTGACATCCTTTACGATCGGTTACGATGCCTAGAGTACGGAGATCTGTACGATTTCGTCAACTTAGTGAGTTTGATAGGGGCCGTATATTGGGACTTCGGGAAGCTGGACTTTCTTTTCGGGCAATTGCAGTTAGAGTGCAAAGAAGTGTAGACACTGTGGTTAGGTGTTGTCAGGCATGGCTTCGAGAAGGCCGTACGCAAAGAGCAAGGGGCACTGGACTCCGCCGTAGAACAACAGACCGTGAAGATCGCCGCCTAAGATTATTGGCCTAAGGGACCGTTTCTCCACTACCAGGTCCATTGCAAATGAATGGTTTGCAGAACACGGAAGACCTATTGGCATGCGAAGTGTTTACCGACGAATGAGAAGTTTTGGCTTGTTTTCATACCGGCCACACTGGGTCCTCCCTTTAACTCGAGAACACCGACGTAATCGCCTTGAGTGGCGCAGACAACGGTCACTCTGGGATCAGGAATGGAACAGTATTGTCTTTAGTGACAAGTCCCGATTTTGTTCAGGCATGCACGATGGTCGTGCCAGGCTTAGAAGGTAACGTGGTGAAAGGAGGAATCCACAGTTTTTTGTTGAAAGACATGTTCATCACACTGTTGGAGTTATGGTTTGGGGTGCTATAGCTTATGGTTCCAGGTCACCTTTAATCTTCATCAGAGGTAACATGAACGTGCAGCGTTATATCCACGAAGTTCTAGAACCCCATCTTTTACCCTATCCTGACACCCTGGCTGATCCAACTTTCCAACAAGATAATACCCGACCACATGTTGCAAGAGTCACAATAGACTTCTTTCAACATAATGATGTCACATTGTTACCATGGCCACTAAGATCTCCCGACTTATCCCCAATTGAGCACGTGTGGGATATGATGGGTAGGAGATTGCTCAATTTGCAACGTCCTCCTCAGACTCTAGGAGCACTTCGGGAGGAGTTGGTGGTTGCCTGGAATAAGATACCACAGGAGGAAATTGACCACCTGATCAGAAGCATGCCTAGGCGCGTTGGAGAATGCGTAGCACATCAGGGTGCATCCACACATTATTAAAGGTCAAAGGGCTTTAAAGCAGTGCAATCCTTTTGAAATTTTTATCATTTACTTATTATGCTTCATTAAGTACTTATACAAAATTTTATTAAAATAAAACCATTTAAACTGGGTGTTCGGATTTATATGTCACTTAGTATACATACCTAAATGATGGTATTAACTTGGTTAGCTGTGCAGTTTTGTGATTTATCAATGTCTTCTTGAAATTCCTTCAAGAAGTATTTGCGATATGCGCTAATGTATAGTCTTACTAATAAATTTAGCACGAGCTCGCATTTCCGGGCATTGTTCAATTTTATATTGAAGATTGGTAACAGCACGCCGATATCAAGTAAGTTGTCGCTCTGACAAATAAGATTAAAGGACAGTGATATGTAACGACAAAGTTTTAAAGATGGAGACACAACTAAAAACGTATGTCTTTGAGCTCACCGAACAAACGTTCATACACAGGGGTAGGTTGCATGTGTATGTATGAGAGACATGGAGATATATAAAGGCATACTGGTAGTGTTACTTTGACCCGCCAAGCACGGTGACTGTAACTTTAGCCTATCGGCATACATGTTATTGTTCAGGGTGATCTGAAACTTGGAGCTCTGATTTCCAGGAACAACTAGCTGCATGTACGAGAGAATAACCCAGTGAATATCGTGACGTCATGATGTCGGCAACAAAAATGACGCCATTATAACGGTGTAATGTCACACCCAATTGACGTCATTATATGGCGTCATCGTATGACGTATAAGTGACCAAATACAAAGTCGATATGACGTACGATAATCGCGCAATGTATTGAAATGCTCCTGAAGATTTGGGGATGTGACGGCGACGCCCCACAAGCAGTGGGTTCAGGGCTGGTAGAAAGGAGTCGAAACCGAGCAGTCCTTATCACCTCCGCAATGTTTCCAAGAGCATTTGTACAAAGTGTATCCAAGTGGTTAATAAAGAACACCGTTTGATCTCAAACACGTTCCAGTCCTCCGACGGTTCAGAATTTGCTTGTAGCAAAATCGCTTTGATTTTTCGCAGGAGGTTAAAACACTTCTCGTTT